TAACCAAAAATGGTCACTTTTCATATAACTAGTCTTCATACTAATATACCAATCAATATGGCTTTGGAAGCAGTTAGGAAACAACTAACTGCTGATTCCAAACTCACACATAGGACAAAGTTACCTGTTGAGGAAATTATCTCAGGAATCCAGTTATGCCTCACATCTACTGCCTTCAAATTCCAGGGCTAAAAATATATTAACAAACAAAACGGGTGTCAACGGAATCACCAATATCCCCAATTGTATCAGATATCTTTATAGGTTATTGGAGAAATATGGCTCTTAGAGCATTTAACTCCACCCCAGAGATATGGTGCAGATGTGTGGATGACACTTTCACGGTGTTGCAAAAACAGAACACATCTCCAGTTGATTTACACATGTAAACTCAACAGTACAGGAAACTAAATTTACAATTAAATCAGAAAATCAACAAGGAGATCCAGCTATGTTAAACTATAGGACAAAAAACGGATAGGAGAAGGTAGACTATGCACTAGAGTTTATAAAAATCCAACTCACTCTGACCGACACTTAGGCTTTCATTCATCTCATCCGTCACCTGTAAAGGCAGGCATAGTTAAGTGTCTAATTAACCGAGCAATACAACTCAAGGTAGTGCATCAGAAAACCTAACCAACGAAACAAAACAGATGGAAGGAGGAGCGCTGATGCGAGGTAAAAATCCAACAAAATCCATGAAGACGACCACAGAAGCTGACAAGAAAAGCAAGAAGAGTAGTGGGACTGCTGACGACAATACAAATAACAAAGAACTTAAGGCGTGCACACTTTTACCATACAAGGAAGGGACATCTGGAAACCTACAGCGCCTACTGGGGTGGCATTCAAACGTGCAAACTCAATCAAGGAACAAACTGTACTCCAAAACGTCATCAGCAAATAACAATACTGTACCACTGTGTGCTTTTATCAAATAAATCCACTTCATGATGGAATTATATTCTACCAAAGTGCCCAAGTTCTTTTCTTATACCAGTGAAGCGATGTGACGAGTTAGATTGCGTTCTCAGTAGTGCCTGTGTCAGATGGACATAAAGAAAAAGTTGTCCAAACTGAAAAGTGGGTCAGATGCAACGCTCGTTGCCAGGATCTAGCTACATAAATAGGTTTAGAAGGGACGACTGAGAAAATCCCACTCTATTCTATAGACGGGTACAACTACAGGTTTCGCCAGCAGGTTCCTCCTCTCAGGTAAGTTTCAAAGGCATGGACAGTTAAGGACTAACTCAGTTACAAACACTTGTGAACCATTTGCATGGTGCAGTTCTGACAAGCGTTAAAGATGAAGAGATTAAGATGTAAGTTGGTTGTAAGGTGCCAGAAGTGCATGTAACAATTGACAAAACGCTTGGTGGAGTTATTCAACCTTGTGCTATTAAATCTTCTTTAGGCTGGATGTTACATGGACTCCAGAGTAGAACTCTTTGGGGGGAACTAGCATAGTGAAGTTTACATCACCTACAGAAAAAACAGAGACCACGTCTCATTGGTTTTATAAGACTGAGTTCGACAAGACAAGTAATAGTTTATCCGTGTATGCATGTAGCGCACCACTCAGTCAGTGTTCCCTCATAAAAAGCCTAATAAATCAAGGATTGCACTCTACTACTCATCACAGTGGACAAGGACATCTTTGAATAACAATTTATACCTTGGTCCCGATCTGATGAATAATCTGGTGGACGTCTTTATGAGATTTTCGCACAGACCAATTCACAACATCGTAGACATAGAAGCTATCTTTCACCAAGTAGTTGTTCCTCTGTATCATCAAAGTGCTATCAAATTCTTATGGTGGTGACTGAAGGAGAGAAGCAACATGCAGACGGAAGCAGTAGATAACAGAGTGAAAGTACATTCTAATGGATCAACCTCTTCATGAAGTTGCACCATGTTTGCGTTACAAAGGACCATTCTAGATGACACTGATATGTTCGATAAGAGTGTTTGTTATTCAAGTAGCTAGGGAAGAATTTTATTTTGACGAGTGTCAGCTAATTTGTTCCCAGTCGGAGCAAACTCTGAAAACAGGCGGATTCAATTTCACTAAATAGCCATCCTACTGACCAGAGGGAAATCGTATAGAAACAAACATCAATATTCTTCCATCTAAAGAGAAAAATGAGGATGTTAAGCATAAAATAGGATCTATTAACTGATACTACTACTTACTTTCAAACACGTTATCTTAACATGAAGCTAACGAGAAAATCTCCTTCGACATTCAACCCAGTTGGAATTATTGCACCAACACTGTGGCCTGCCAAGTAGATCCTACAACATGCCTGTCGAAACACATCACCATAGGATGCGCATACACACACACACACCTGTTCGAAGATTGTCTTATCATATGGATTTGTTGGTATAAGAATATTAGATAAAGTCTTTATCACACGATGCATAATACCGACTTCTTGTGAACTACTAACCACTCAGCTTCATTGTTTTGCAAACGTTACCGACTTCGCATGAAGTGATATCTTATACATTTGTCTTGAAGATGTTTCTCCACAAGTTTACTGCTCGCTGCGATTGTTAGCTATTGGGAAGCGTAGATCTGCACCACTCAATATCCACTATGTAACCGACCGCATATTAAATATGTTTATTTGACATGAGTCTGTAATCGAGTATTTATAACTGGATGACGTTCGAAGCACAATTGAGTTCTCATAACTATATCGTTGTTGAACAAGAAGCCTCATGTTCTCAATGATAAAGACTAAGGAAATAGGAGACGCCAAGAAAGCTAAATGAAAGCTATATCATACGTGAACTGCAGAGAGAAAAGAACACCGTCCTAGTGTTGTTTGTCGATGGGAACGTCTGATTCTGATAAGCAGTCCTTTATCGACGGTCTTATGAAAGCTGGTTCTACGCAATTAATACTTGCAGTTACGTGTTTCAACCTGCGAGCTCAAAGCAATTCAACTACATAATTTTCAGTTCTCTGGTAAATCAATCAGTTCACATAAAAATTAGCAACTACATTATTTCTTCACTGAGTTGTTTGATTTGGAAGAAGGTCGGGTATCACCACCTACGGGTATCAAAAAGGCGAACAATTAATAGAAAGTCAATACAACAGCTACGGCAAATCGAAACACTACCTGAGACTTAACCACGTATATCAAGCACGCTAATCGAATCACAAACAAGCGTACTCAGCCAATAATTAAACAGTTGGTTCTAATGAGAAATATTTTCAGACAGAAAGTAGTGTTGGCTTTAGCTGTAGGAAAAATATACAAGCTGCATTCAAATCCTACACACCACACTCAACATATCTACTGAATACAGTCCAAAAAGAAACATATTCTACGCTGATTTGGAACCCAACTCATAAAATGCCATCATGAATGAAGCCCACTGAAGAAACATCCAAAACCATCATACCAATAACGATAATAACACGAGAAGAAGAATAGGAAAACGAAACATACAATACGAAAGGTATTCAGAAGCAAAATATAAATGGGAAGGATTTAAAAAGCATTCATCCTCTTTTATAAACCCCCAACATGATGTTTGAAATTACCTATCAGACACTGGTCACTTCTGCCCCATAAGTGTTGAAAAACAACACTACCATTCTAAACTATACGCACAATTTGGATGACAGCAATAAGCAAACCAGTTGACTGGTAACTATTGTTCCTAAGCTTAACCTGATTGCCTCTGGTGAACAATCTGACACATTGTCAAAGTAACGTCGTGATATTCAATGCGTCACAGAGCGTGGTGCCTTCAATATGTCCAACTCTACTATTTCTCCACCTGACCAGTGATCCATATTGTGTATTCACCACTTTTCTTTGCTCATTCGCATAAATACACATCCCCTAAAACAATCAGCTATGATGACTTCTCGCTGAAGGGACTGAATGGGATAGTCACCTTGTGTTGACAATACCTCTGGATACATTGCGGTTTCCGACGCATGTCCATCTAACCGACAACACACACGATATAATGCACCGACGCTGATCCATATCTACTAATGAACCGCTGACCCAGCGTCTATTAGACGTAAAACTTCCCAGCAACTTGTTCACATCTTGATGTACCTGTCTCCACCTCTATGTATTGAAAAGTTGCGATTTCATATAAATTATCCAATGTATCAAATACTCAGCTTGACAAGTCATGTGGAGACTTAATATCTGAACGAAGTCTCACATTATTTCTTGTTTTAAAATATTAAATGAAAAGAGACTTCATAGCTTAGTGGAAGAAACTCCAGATGACTAGGCTAAGATTACATCAATCACTGAAGTTAAGCAAAATACAACAACAGTATGCATACGATCACTCATGCTTAAAACACAGCTGCAAAGACAAACCAACGTGATAAGTCCAAGTTGTCACTTTTCGGAAAACCAGCAGAGAACCGAAATGTTAAGGCACTTCAGACAACAAAAATGTGTGGGAAATACAATAATACAACAGACAGACAGTGGTGTTGATTGGAACATCGACATTAAGGGATGAACAGATGTCGGATACTGTAGATTATCCCACGTCACTTGACAGAGTCTCCAAACTCTGACTCTTACTTAGCGTCTTAAAAATCACAGCCTACATCTCATCCCACGGCTCAGATAAACAGTATGGGATTGCTGTCACCTTCGTATGTATGCTTACAAATATCAATGTGATAAGTAGAGAAATGTTCAGAAAACTACGTTTCTTTTTGGCAAATAGAAAAACTGACTTTGTAACAAAAACAATCAAGCAAAATCAAAATGATACAAGAAGTAATATAATATTTCGCAAAACATAACTCAAGTTATTCAATTCAGTTTGTAATCAAGGTGTTGAAACATAATCATTTTAGTCAATACATGATGGGAATTTATATATATATATATATATATACATGATGTGTGAAATACATTACATAAGTTTTGTAATAAATAATGAGTCTGATTATAAAGAAAAGAATAATACACTGCAAACATTATGACTTGTTATCCAATAATATAATGCACTTGGTTTCGCATAATAATCAAGTTAGTTAATTCATTAAAATCACTGAAAAACTGTCGATTAGTATCAGAAGGAATCATTAGAATAGACTGATTAGTCACATCTTTATTAGGATCATACATTTCATTGTCCATCAGCACCTCTAATTCTTCATTTAATAGTGTCGGCGAATAGTCGTATATACATGGTGGATCTGGACAATTGATTCCTTTCTGTTTTGATTCACTGACATGTCTAGACATCGCCAACGACTGTCCATGGATAATATTCCGTACGGATTTCGGTAGAGAATCGGAAATTTGTTCTAACTGAGACAGTAAAGCTGTAGCATAATTAAGGGATGCTTCTAGTGGAATTTTCATTGATAATTCATTCACATGCTAAGTTGGCGAGGACGAGGACGAGGAGAAGAAGAAGAAGAAAGCAGTTAAGTAGAAACTATTTCAGTTGCACGGTTAGGTAAATGTATCATACAAGTCAATCAAGTCAATCGATGACATTGTGAAATTACATAGACTGAGATGGTTAGGGCACATGTTGCGCACACCACGCCATCGCCTACCTCAAGGAGCAATGCTGGCTGGCACACGATTAGGTCGGAAAAGAATTAGGAGTGGTTAAACCAATACTCGGCATCAATCCATGAAATCGTTGACAGTTGGTTTGAGCCATTGTTCTCAACGCTGCAGATTTATTCACTCTCTTTGAACTATAAGATCTATTAAAGTCTCATTACTTTCCACTTACTTATTATCTTTCCCATACATCTCCGTTCATTATAGTCTCCTGAATTTATTTACTTCACCTTTGTGTGCTATATATACAGTGTGCTAACTTGAACTACTGACCTTCTGTGTGAAGTTCTACGTTGACAAGTCAATCAGATAGTTAAACCGTTAGGCTGTTTGTAACAAAAGTAGTATCAATATAAGCCATAGTCTGGATCGCCTTTTTTCCATAACTGTAATGTTGGCCTTATTTTCAAAAGTTGAATTGGTTATTTTCCAATAAAATAACCTAAATTGCCCACAATGGACGTTGACTTGCTAGAATAATAAAAGTTCAACTGCTATACAAATTCTGTCATTCACATCACCACAGTACCGTTAACCAACCCATCAGTCATTACAAGTAAAAAAAATACTTTCAGATCTGGTGTAGTGTATCGTGTCAATGTTTTACTATGTCTGAATAATATAAATAACAGTAAAACATTTGAATAAGGTCAAATTTACCTTTAATATACTATTTGCATCATATTTCCTGTTCATTATATTATCTCTTTGCATTAATAGCACAGCAGCAGCGAAAAATATATGGAAATTTTTTGTACGATAATCTGTCCAAATTACCTAAATGAGAATAGAAGAAAATACCCGAAGTCGTGAAATCCTATGAGAAAGCGACTAAACACGCATAGACTTCAGTCCGTTACTCGACAGAAATGTGTGTCCTAAAATCCAAATGGTAAAGATCATACGACAGTAACACAATGATGAGAAAAACACCCATGGTAACAGTAATCTCAAAATGGAGTTCAAAGTCATCCCTTTAAACACTTCGAACTGTAACATTAATACCATTCAAATTCATACACAGATACATTCAGTCAATCACCTCAAAGTATTATGAAGATTACCACTTTTTTAACTTTTAGGTGGTTTCACATTTGATCACTAACAGGATTAAGTACAAAGCATCGATCCCACAATAATTCTCCTTGAGCACTACCTAACTGTAGGAATAGGTTGGCGCAGTACTAGATGGTAAGTTACGCTATTATGTATGATATTATTACCGCTACTGCTGTAAATTACTGACTCAGTGTACACACAAAAATGACTCGGAAACATCTACCAGCCTTCCTTCCCAATCCCACCTTTGCTGAAACTATCTGAAATGTATCGACGGTGCAAAATCTATCTTGGAAGCCCACAAAGTCTATCTTCAGTTGCGAATTCAAAATGCAAATAAGCCAACTGAATCACATTTCCGGTGACAATAAATCTCCATGAGGTTGAAATCGGTGTCGATGTTGCAGCATATTTTATCAAAATTAGCTCCACAATCTTACATATATATTCAGCTAGTTGCTGAAAACTACTGGTTTACACTGATAGTAGTTTTGCAAGTCATTTAGGAGTTATTGTCATTCAACTTATAAGGTCTGAAACGGTGTCCTGAAACAATCATATCCAGTGGAAATAAACATAGTCTGTATGAATCTTTAGCTAGCCTACACTAAAGTGGAAGAATTGATACTGACTCAAACGTGAATAATGCAAATAACCCCGGAGTTGTGCAGGAATCAAAACGTTTCCAACTCAGAATACCTCCTAACTTTACAAGGGTTTGTACAGCATTCTTGAAACAAGTGAAACCAATAGCAAGTCGGGAGCAAAAGTTAGTCTAACAGACGATAAATGGAGCGAAAACACCTTCAACATCCATACCTCATAGATGAACAAATCACGATTGTACAGTAACTACTGGTTGCTGAAAGGCCTTGGTAAAAATTTCTTATAGTTAACACGCAAACAGATCACTGTATGGTGCAAAAGTAGTTTGTTAGCTGTCTATTCTTAAACGTGATGTGTGATCACGAAGCTAATTATTGTCAGCAAACTATTGTGCACTGTAATACGATATTAAATGTAAGCAGTTGATGGACAGAATGTGCATGATAACTGATAGAGATTCATAAGAGATATCGTCATATCACTATGCTTTCTGTCCTCTTTCAAAGGAGGAGAAATAATCCACACAATTCTATACTTAGTATTGATTAGTTGACAATAATTAATCAACAATTATTATAAATGCAACAATGAAACATACCTCCCATAATATCATAGTATCATTGTAGGAAAATTCTCTTTTAAAATGAATTAGCAACCAACGAAAACAGAATGGCATTTCTTTGGCACTGTTCATTTCTAGAATACATAGTTTTGTATATTGTTCGGGAAAAACAAAGAAAACGAAGTGGATATTAATTTATAAATCATAGAAATGCATAATAAAGGTGTTCCGTACATAAAATCGCAGTCCTTATTTTGTGGTGAGAGCTGTCTACCAGCCAAATTGGTAGACAGTAATTTACGTCAACGTTTACGTTCTCAAGATTTGTCGTGAGAAAATATGAACAAAGACTGATTCAAAACCGACCACAGCAGACTTTGCGTAGGCGGATACAGTTAACATATAGATGATCTGACATTCAAGAAACAGTCACAAAGAGATGAAAGATTAACTTTAAGTGAGAAACAACCAATCAGAAGACTGTGTTGTTTGCTTAATTAAACTATAATAATGTACATGAAAATATATAAATATGCTCTAATTTCCTTAATAAACGATCTGTTGCCTGGCCCTTGTCTTCTGTTGTTACAATTTAAATGAAACAAAATGCAATAGGATTCACGTGTGTATAAAATGTAGTTGCACTTACTACAAATAAAATGCCTGGGAGGACAGATGTAGTACTGATTGTCGTCTTTAGTCTGTAAAGGATATTTGTTTGTATCGAAATGCTAGCTATGTCCATTACAAAACTTACCTTGATAACCAACATTTAAATTTAGAATTAATATAACATCGACAGAAGCCTTTTGTTTTTGGATATATCACACAATTAAACTAATGTGTAGATTTCTGCTCATTCTAAGTCCAAACCAGTGGAAATAGAATTAGTAAACTGTTTGAGTTAAAAGTCAGAAAAACTAAATTAGACTAGAGAAAACCCATGGAAAAAGATTAAACATATAAGAGAAGCTCAAGCACTTAATAGTTTTCTTGATAAACTAGTCAGGAAGTAAACGAAAAATCATAGGAATAACAATAACAATGATAAGGACGATGTGAAGGTGAAACACTGAAAAGTTACAACAGCAAGATGATGAAATTTGAAAGTCAGTAGTGCTATCACACAAAGAGAATACTGTGGAACTCTTACTCAAGACTCTTAACAAGTAAGAAAAGTGTCACTCACACTCAAAAACTCACTTGGGAACTAATTATTTCGTTCAAAGGATTGTATGGAGATCATTACGCAGAATAATTTAGTTTATAAAGTCTTAAAATTTAAGATAACAGGATGGAGGGAGAGATTGATAACGGAAGCATTATGTATCAAATGAAGTGAAAATACATACAAGAGGAATGATTCAACACCTGTCCCGGTCATTCGAATAATTCTACTGCCACTAAGACAAATGAAAAGGAGTAAATACAACAATAAAACGCGAGTTTTGCAGTTGTGTGATTTCGATTGATGTGATTATGAACAGTAAATTGTGTTCGAAACTTCATCCACTTAGTAATACCGTTCCGCTATGTAATATATCCAATAAGCAAATTAGTGTGGAGTGTGTGACAATCACGCTAACTCCTGTATGAATTCCTAAGATATAATGCACCGAAATACAAAATCACGTCGATATACGTGATGAATAACTTCCCAACCGATAGCTGCTACCTTGACGTGGTGTTCGGGCTAACATATCACAATGACCCAATAAGCTACACTGGTCGGAACTACTGTTCCTGCAGGTCCTACCATGCAACCAAGGTTGTTAGGATACCGATCAGACTAAAAGCAGTTACCGGCTTAGTGTAAGAGTTCTTTTTACACTATGCTGGGGGTCTGTAGGTGAAGTCGTACTGATGAGGAAGAGAGATGTAACAGCAGTAAGGTGTTCTCCTCAGATGACCAGCATGCTAGCTGTGCCGCCTGTCCACTCTGGAGAGAGGCGGGGATTAGAAAAGGTCGACCCCAACAAGTGTACATTCTGACTTAACCTACGGTGGTCCGTAACCGGCGGAAAGTTTACTAATACGGAACCAAACCAAGAAACCAGTTCATACAGGCCCTGTGTGACCTACCGGGCTCAAGCAGTTGTCCCCTGGGCTCCACAGTCACGCAACACTAACCCTCTCTCTCTGTTTCAGGTACTCGAAGAATCAATCAACTTCCACGGTGTGGGCAGCCGGGAAATAACAACCGCCCACACACTTCCAAAAGCACACAAAGCCTTCCTGAGCATCATTCTTCTCTACCCACATCACCTTTATCACCTTCCCCCCCCCTACTACAGTTAGTACTATTCTTCAAGTTAGTGAGGCATCTTCACTTCACTCTGTCACCACAAACAACGATCACAGCCATAGAAACACCCCAGACAGCCTCTTAAAGCCACGTCGCCAACTTCACATAGAAGCATTCAATGGTGCAGATGCATCCATTCCTTGTGACTTATAATTTCCAGTGAAAATATATTGTTCTTCGTTATTACCATTCCTTTCGTCTGATATCCCTGTCTACTGTCTCTATTTTGCATTTCTTCTACTTTCTTCTCTTGCTTTGTGCACTACATAGAGTGTGGCAACTTGAACTGCTGCACATCGGTGCAAAGTTCCATGTTGAAAACAGACAGACGTTTATCGACAACTAATACTGCACTTTACAAGCAGTGATAGGCTAGTTCTGAGAAGAGTGAACCTTCATAATTTAGACAGCCAATCAATCTGAAAACGTACCGTAACCTATAAAGGTTTAGGCATAGCATACACTGCATCTCTATATTACTAACAACAGAAAAGTTATAATAATAATAATAATAATAAAAACACTACTTACCAAGGTATTCGCTGAATGCAGGATCAACTATTTCAATTAGCGAGAATAACTGATTGAACTTGATAGGATCCCACACACTTTGTTATTGTTCAATTATTTTAACGACTGTTAATCTCGCATAAGTGGTATATTATCATTTCCCACGCATTTTTTTATTGACTATTACGACCAATTATTTCAAATACTGTTAGCTGTCTTGATTGGTTGTAAAAATGTTTAAATACCATTTCCTAAATAAGTTTCTTTGTCATAGTTTGTCGTAGTTGTTGTACTACAATGCACAGTCACAGACCAGACTTCGTCTTTTGATATTTGCGTGGTTCGTTGAATCGGAAGGTACCAGAAGCAGATAGGCATATTAGTCAGGCGCAGACAGAGCAAGGCGACAACGTCCTCATTTAACTCGCCTACAGTTATAACAAATTGGCGACGGGGTTTACTTTAATTCATTGCGGTTATAACAAGCAAGCGACGACGGGTTTTATTCTGTTCAGCGCAGCTATAGAACATTTTTGACTGTGTTAATTACAATCCAATTACAATGTCTATCTCTCTGGACGATCTCAAATCTATCTTGCAGCAGCAGCAAGTTCAGAATGAAGCAGCTCAACTAAAATTAATCGAAGCTCTCACTCAGAAGCTGTCAATTCAAGTTCCATCAACATCTCATTCAGACAAATATGAAAGCATCTCAGATTCCATCAGTGAGTTCAACTACGACCCAATATCTGGTCTCGTATTTGATGCATGGTTCAATCGTTATGAAGACGTTTTCCGTATTGAATGCTACATGTTTGATGATGCTGCCAAAGTCCGATTGTTATTACGAAAACTTGGTACTGTTGAGCACAACAGATATGTTAACTTCATTCTGCCTAAGAACCCACGTGAGTTATCATTCGACGAGACAGTCACCGTTTTATCACAAATCTTTGGTGAACAGTCATCCATGTTTAATATTCGGTATCAATGTTTTCAGTTGACAAAAATGCCTTCCGATGATTATGTCACTTACGCTGGCAAAGTGAACAAGGAATGAGAAAGGTTCAAACCACACGAAATGACATCAGATCAGTTCAAGTGTTTGATTTTTATTTGTGGGTTGAAGAACCCAGAAGATACTGACATAAGAACTCGACTTCTGTTACTCGTGGAACAAGACCCGAAAATGACTTTACAAATGGTGACAGCAGAATGCCAACGCTTAATCAACTTGAAGCACGATACTGCTATGGTGGAGTGCAAACGACAGTCGTCTGAATTTGGTTCAATTAACACAGTGAGAAGTCCTCCGATCACCGTTAAGCACACAACACGTCAGTCTCAGAATTCACCTAAACCTCCTTCAGTGTGCTGGCACTGTGGTTCGTGGCATTTTGTCAAGTTCTGTCCTTTCAAGAAACATAAATGCCGTAATTGTCACCGTTTTGGACATAAAGAGGGTTACTGTCCACCACAGAAAAATTCTTCGGTGAGGAACAGAGGTAGTCGTTTCAAGCCGAAACAATCTCCTCGAGTACAGACCATTTTCACAACTTCCAAAGTCGATTTCGCCAGCAAACGTAAGTACATTACACTACGTATTAACAGCAAATCTATTCGTCTTCAGTTGGATACGGCATCAGATATCACCTTAATTTCCCGAACTACGTGGCGCAAACTTGGGTGCCCACAGATTCTGCCGACCGAGCATGTCGCTAAGAATGCCTCTGGAGATATACTGAAACTCGTTGGTGAGATAAATTGCCAGGTTCAGTTTGGTGAGCATCAGTTCAATGGTGTATGTTACGTCACAAACTACCATGATTTGAATTTGCTTCGTCTTGACTGGTTAGACAAGCTCCATATCTTCAATGTACCATTAAATTCAGTATGCTCTAATGTTTCGTCCTCACCAAAGAACGTTGTTCCCGGACATGTATCTGATCAGTCTCTCCTGCAACGCCTGCGTGCTTATGCAAAACCGAAGGGGGAGGGAACAACAGAAGAAATTTTGGATAGATTCTTGCTGCATTATCGTACGACGCCAAATCCTTCCGCAGCCGGAAGCCCGGGACGCAGATCACACTTTATCCAGAACCACGCGAAGGTCAACTCGACAAAGAAGAGCTCCGAAACCTTTTCAAATAGATCCAAAAAGCAAGTCCTACACTTTTAACGGGGAGAGGTGATAGGATCCCACACACTGTTATTGTTCAATTATTTTAACGACTGTTAATCTCGCATAAGTGGTATATTATCATTTCCCAGGCACTTTGTTATTGTTCAATTATCTTAACGACTGTTAATCTCGCAT